CCTAAATAGTATTATTTATTAGTGTTTGTAAGGGTTTATAATCTTTTTCTAGTTGTTAATATTTAGGAACGGATATATTATCATTGTCTTGTTTTATGAGTTTCTAGATCAAGTACCTCAGTATTAGTTCCTAGATTTACAGTTTGAGGTTACTTTTTTGTATGTTGACTAAGATTTAAATTCAGGGTGGTGTATCAGGTGGCTACAAATAGTCGACTAGGAAGCCTGAACTTAATTTTCTCCCTAGCTAGCACGCATCACCAATGTGTACTTATAATCCTGAGGAAACTGACGCTTGTGAAATTGGAAGCTCAGAAATGGAAATCACTAATCTAACTTTAACTGTAACATGTACATAGAAACTGTTAAGATACATTAAGTAACATATGAAAGGTAGAACATAAGCTGACCAGTAAAGTTGTAGTCAGAATGGGGTTGTGGAGATTGTTGAATCTCACTAAAACCATTAATCGATCCAAGTTAGACCAACATTGAGAACTTCGAAGTACTGGGCGTGCTAGTATGGGACCCCTCAGAAGGGCGCATTCACGACTCAGGACTTTCGATCCCGTACGTGGATGCTTTATACGTAGATCGCTAAGTCGGTCCATGATCTCAATGTAATTCAACAATCTTCGCAACCACATACTGACTGTTATCATGCTTTCACTAATAACTGGCTTCAAGAGGAAATTTTAGGAATTCTAGTCAGGATCCGTGACTAGTAGAGTTAATCCGTGTCAGGTGTGAGACAGTTACCCATCGAAGAAAATCGTCGTGGGTTAATTGAAGTTAGAAATTAACACCACTGCACCTCAATTTGTTCTACAGTTTAGGCATCCGCAGGCGAGACTGAAGGTCCTGGGTTCGATTCCTGCATGGAAAGTCGTGAATGCACACTCATGAGGAGTCCCATACTAGGACGTCCAGGTTTTCAATAGTGGTCTAACATCGATCGGTTCATGATTTCAATTCAGTAAAATAGTAATTCGATTGCAGATTTTATAAAGGAAGTGAATGACTGATACTTCTGTGACAAATTTCATGCCTTTGGTTGCAGTGGTAAAATATGAATGTGATTATCATTCATTCGAAATTGTAGAAAACGTTGTATGGTTTCCTGTGGGCTGTTCTCACTTTTAAGAACATACCAACCCTAATTTCTTGATTTCAATGCGTTTAGTAACTTGAAATCGGATTATTGTTCTCATCATGCTCCCGTAAAGAGCAAAATTTAATGAATATAAGAATATATATACTTCCTACTACAAAACTATGAAGTTAACTATCTTCCTGATGAACTTTGATCAAGACCAAACAGAAACTAAATTTCTCTGTTCACTTTGAACTAAATTTCTTGCGTATGTCATTTAACTAAATCAAAATGTAAGCAGTAAATCGTAATTCTTTAAGACTACTCACATATTTCTACAGGTTTTTTCTTTTAAAATCATTCATAATCCACAAGACCTCTGGTCAACTTGTAATTAAAACTCCGTGTAAATGTGTACCATATTCGATATCATGGAAGCATTTTATTTACCATATACTGCCCAACAGGTTTGACTTCCTATCATGGGGGTGTTTACATGGCCACAGAAACAAAAACTGACTGATTCACCGTTTCATCATCCCAGCTAAACCCAAAAGAAATAGGTGATTTATCGAAACCCCGCTTTCTAAACCAACGAATTACACTTTGCGTAACTGATTCGCAAAACACCCTCCATGACCTTGGTGTAAGCAGACTTAATATTCGACAGACTGCAGATTATTATAGTCTGGTCGTTATGGCTCAGGAAATGACCTTAAGTACACCATCCATGCATCAACAAGATGTCCACTTAAAAAGAATTAAAAGTTCCTGGTTGACACTTTTCATTTCTGTAATACATGTGAAGAATGCACTATCTAAACAATTTTGAACCAGAGCACTTCAAGCAATCTAATATCGCATATGTCCTCTACATTTAATATTACTATCTATATCAGGATAATCATGCCTGTACACTAGCATAAATTCTGTAATTATTATTTTAAGAATGTAATATTCCATAATTCTTATTAAATACTCCGTTGGTATTATATCGAAAAGAGAAGGAAAACTGATTATTCGAAATCACATAGGCTCTGTAAAATATAAACTGTTGTTAACCGGTTCAGTTGTTCAAATAAGTAGTGATTACATAGGATTTAGTTTGAGATTGTAATATACCAAGTGTCATCTGTATATCATATTTTTGATGGCAAGTGCACAGTAAGTCATCTGAATTCCCTACTTGTGACTGTCAAAAAAAAAATAAACATTAAGAAATTTAGCAAAGCTGTCAATACTTATTGTTTATACAATTATAAGTCAAGTTAAATTAGCAGATAATCTGACATCTAAGCATATGTAGAAAACGCATTCTTAAGTTTGAAGAAAATGTTATTAAAATTGCTCTTGGGAAGTTATAGGGAATTTATCTCATCCACTTCGTTTACGAGCACATGTTACATGTGGATCACTGAAGAAAACTTCTGTCTTATTTGTTTCTGAGTGGAAAGAGAGGATTTAACTAGTTAGCATTGTTATAACACTGTTGATTTAATACTAAAATGGAATGAAAATGGTGGTTACTTTGTTATATCGTTCACAGAATTGATCCCTTAATTTCAACCTCAAGTCTTTGATTGAGCCAAACAATTGGACAACTGAGTGATTATATCGAGAAATCAAAGTGCTATTTATAGACATTTGTTTAACCAAGATTCTATTATTAATAATTATTTATCGATTAATATATTAGTAATTATGTATGAAATTTAAAGTCATAAATCATTCACCGATGATCTTTCACTTTTTGTCTGTCATATTCTGTACGAACTGCGATCAAGTGGTGCAAAAACTAAACATAGATCAAGGGTTTTCGTCCAATTATCTAGCATCAGTACATGTTGTGTCACATAGAAAACATCTGCATTTCGTAGCTTGATCGATAGAATTCTGTTTTGTCTCAGTATAGGCCTGTTTAGCAATGCTCATCCACGACGCAACCATCGGGGATATGTCCCATGGACCTTCGGATCACTTAGCTGGCATCCAATGGTTTACATATCCAACTTCAAATAGTTCATGATATTTCTCAATAATCTTTCACAATCTTCATTGTTTGACTGCCTTAACCCGGATACGGTTGAATTTCACCGGTCACAGCTTCCTCTCAAGATTAGTCACTAGTAAGCACATGACGATTATCTGTACGTTGGCTTGCAAAGTTTTCTAGCTGTTAATGAGATGACAAACAAACTCAAGTTATACAACCATTACAAACCACACAAAAAAACACCGGACAACTGTTTTGTCCTAGTATGGAACTTTACAGTAATCTATATCCACAAAGCACGGATTCGAAAAGCTCGTTTGGCTTTTACCAACTTACGTCACCTATGGCGAAGGCGAGATATCCGTCTATCAATATACTATCAGTATACTGCGCGGCAGTCCGTTCTATTTTAATTTACGGCAGCGAAACATGGCCATTAAGAGTAGAAGGTACTCGTAAGCTACTAGCATTTGACCACAGATGTCTTAGAAATATTTCTGGCATCTGCTGGGATCAGCCAGTAAGCAATAGTGGGGTTAGACACAGGGTATTAGGGAGTGATGGTAAATCAGTTGATGAGGTTGTAAATCTTCGTCGACTGAGATGGTTGAGCCACGTGTTACATATGCCTGAACACCGAGTACCGCGACGTGCAATGCTAACCGGTGTTAGGGAGGGTTGAAAGAACGTTAGGGGCGGTTAAACCAAAACACGGCATCAGTGCTTGAAGACATTAACTTCTAGTCTGAGCCATGTTGGGAGATGCAGACTACTTGGTTGGGGTCCGCGTGACTATCGTAACCAGTGGTTGGAGACTGTGGGTGACATGACTCAGAGTCGATCACAATGGCGTCGGTATATACACTCTCTGTCTTCCCTTAAACTAAGAGATTAAAATCGCTTCATATCTTTCTTTCTATGAATCGATTATTTCTTCCTGTACTATATCCTTATATGTAAGATTTCTTTTATATATTACCACCTCTGAATTAACTACTTTTACGAATCCGGTGTCCATCTTGTTGTGTTAATGAGGTGTGGCAACTTGAACCGATGCATATATGTGCCTGGTGGTATGTTGTAGCTGGCTGACTGACTGTATCCACAACCCCATAAAGTATCAATACTAGTTACTAATTAGTAACCATTATATCTAAGCTTATAGCAAATTGGTTTTTATAACTTATTTATAATATTCATTAACCTGATGTTAATTCATCCCATAATCTTGTTAACTATTATCAATAAAAAATTAAATGTGCTTTCAGGTTTTCCATGAAGGTCTAGCTTCTCTACAAAACCCATCTGATATTAATCAACATATGCTCACTATTGACTGGCTTCACGAGGTATATCATGGAGTTCTAGTGAGAATTAGTGACAAGTGGAGTTCAACCAGGTCTTTATGAGATAGTAACTCACTGATGACAGTGATGAATAAGTCACTCAATTTTGTGGATTAGTTGAAGTTAGACATCAACACCGTTGGATGCCGGCTCAGTGGTTAAGTGCTCGAGCGCGAAACCAGTAGGTCCTGGGTTCGAATCTCGCAGTAGCGATGTCATGGTTGCGCACCGCTGAGGAGTCCTACAATAAAACGAAACGGCCGTCCAGTGTTTCCAGGTTATCCATGGTGGTCTAGCTTCAACTATCTGATGATCTTAATCATTGAAATTAAATGTTAAGCCACAAAGAACATAGCAAAAGAAGAAGAGAAAAAGAAAAGAATTTTATTTCAAAATTATTATTAATTTTTTTTGGTTAAAAATTCTAATCCATAAAATATTACCTAAAGTTACATGAGATTAATTAAAGTAAAAGAAAAATTAAAGAGAATAATAATTTCTATTTCTACTTTACTACTTAAATGTAAAATAAAAGTGTATTTAATCTTGGTTTATTTATTTATTTATATTAGGAAATATGACAATGAATAATATTATTAGAATAATTAAAACTGTAATTATAAAAGTACCAATGAATAGAAATGCAAAAACTCGTTTTCTTTTTATATAATTCTTTAATATATCACATAATTTATAATGAATTGGTAATTCATTTATAGTAGGTAAAATATGTATTTTATTTTGTCCAAATGATGTACTTAGATTTAATGAATTTATACTACTTAATGTACTTTTTTTATTAAAAGTTTGTAAACGATTACTTAATTGACTTTTACGTGGATGTATAGTTGATGTTGATTCTTGTAAAGATAAACGTTGTTCTATATCAACAGGAAATGCCAATACATTCCATGGTGTAACACAAACTAATGACTAGAAGAAATGAATTAATAAAAAATAGAAAAAAAAGTAACTGGAAAAAAAAAAAACAAATTTTACTTGATAACATTTAATAGAATGAATTGTTTTGTCAGTTTAGGTGTTGTGGAGATTGTTAAGTTTTTGATTGAAATCATGAGTCAATTGAAGTTAGACCACCATGGAAAACCTGGAAGCATTGGATGGCCGTTTCGTTCTATTGTGAGACTCCTCAGCAGTGACTAGCTTCGTGAGAAAATCCTCGGAGTTCTGCTGAGAAGCCGTGACCAGTGAAGCTAATCCGCCTCGGGCAGAAACAGGTGTCTACCTCAGTACAATCGAAGATGTTCGTGCAATTTCGTGGATTGGTTAGACATTAACACTATTGGATGCCTGCTCAGTGGTCTAGGTGGTTAAGCGCCTGACGCGAGACTGATAGGTCCTGGGTTCGAATCTCGCGGCGGACGGGATCGTGGATGCACACTGCTGAGGCGTCTCATACTAGGACGAAACGGCCGTCCAGTGCTTCCAGGTTTTCCATGGTGGTCCAGCTTCAATTGACTCGTCATCTCAATCAAGAATTGTTTTGTATTGTAACATTCGATATCATTTAGGTATCATTACTAAGGTTTGACTTGATAATTTCGAATAAATTGAGCATTAGGGTAGATTTTTACAAATAAATTAGTATATTTGTAATATCCTAATGAGTAGAAAATAGTACCTATTTAAATTTGGATTAATTTTGATTTGGTTATTTATTCTCTGAAGAAGTGAGTCACGAAATGTCGGAAAATTTAATTTTTCTATTTATTGGGATATTACAAATATATTAATTTATTTATATCCGGTATCATGATTATCTTGATATATAATTTTTTTCTAAAGTAATAGATTCGGTTTGAAACATTTGGATTTGTAGCTTCTTTTATCGCCAACTGAATTTATTTAGTGAACTAATGAGAATCATAAATTGCTAGGTATATATTTCACTCTATATGGAATTTCGTAGCCCTAAGGGGGATCGAATGTAGGAAATTTAGGCCTTGTGATGAGCACTTCACTTTCAGACCACTGAGTTAAACTCAAGTAAGTTTTATTTCTAACTTCAATCAATTCTTAATATTGAATAAATAACGACCATTGCTACTGGTTACATCTAGCTTACTCCCGATACGACTGAGCTCTATCAGTCATGCCTTCTCAATAGAATCCTAGGAATTACCTCCCAAAGTTAGTCTTCGACTAGACATAGAAGAAACTGCAAAAATGCTCCACGTTCTATTTAGGAGGATTTGGGAGGAAGAACAAGTGCCGACAGACTGGAAAGGAGGATAAGTCATCAAGATACAAAACGAAATAGACCTGAGCACATGTGAAAACTACAGAGATATCACAGTACTATCGGTACCAGGAAAAGTTTTCAACAGAGGGTTGACGAATCAGCTGAAAGATTCAGTAGACACACGGCCTCGAGATCAACAGGTCGAATTCTGTAAGTATCGGTCGTGCGCAGACCAAATCGTAACACTATGGATCATCGTTTAACAATCGAATGAATGGAACTCGTCACTATACATCAATTTTCTTGAAGGTGTTTGACAGTGTGGATAGAAGAACTTTATGGAACCTTCTTCGGCAATATGGTGTACCTGTAAAAATCATCAACATCATACGGAATTCACACGATGGACTACATTGCAAATTGGTGCATGGATGACAGCTGACAGACGCATTCCAAGTAAGGACCGGCTGCTTACTCTTACCCTTTCTCTTTTTTCTGATGGTCTACTGGATCATGAAGGTTTCTACATCTGAAGGGAAGCACGGAATAAAATGAACAGGTTGGATGCAACTAGACGATTTGGACTTCGCAGACGACCTGGTCTTTCTATCCCATACACAAGAACAAATGCAGCTGAAGACAGCCAGTAAAGCAGAAGTCTCTGCGGCTTTAAATATAAATATACATAAGGGAAAAGGAAGATCCTCAAATACAACATGGAGAACACCAACCTATCCACACTTGATGGAGAAGCTCTAAAAGAGGTGGAGCAGTTAACCGCTTATTATTTGTTTTTGTAGTTCAAAATCTCTAGTGTGGATTCATTTTTTGTATCATTTATTTCTACTAAACTTAAATATGAATCGACATATGTGGTTTTTTTAATGTGTCGAAACGACAGTTTTATATAATGTATTATTAGGATCTTCAATATTAGAATCTTCAATACGAACGTCAAGGCAGTTCTACTGTATGGAGCTGAAACTTGGAGAACTACAACAACCACAATCAAGAAAGTACAAGTATTTATAAATAGCTGTCTACGCAAGATACTCAACATCCATTGGCCGGATGCCATCAGCAATAGCCTTCTGTGGGAGAGAACAAACCAACTTCCAGCTGAAGAAGAAATTCGGAAAAGACGATGGAAATGGATAGGACATACATTACGCAAATCGTCAAACTGCATCACGAGGCAAGCCCTAACTTGGAATCCTGAAGGGAAGCGAAAAAGAGGAAGGCCAAAGAACACATTGCGTCGGATAATAGAAGCAGATATGAAAAGGATGAATTACAACTGGACGGAGCTAGAAAGGATTGCCCAGGACAGGGTTGGATGGAGAATGCTGGTGAGCGGCCTATGCTCCTTCACGAGGAGTAACAGGCGTAAGTAAGTAAGTAAGTAAGTAATTATTAGGATTAATTAGTTGACTTATTGAAACTTTAATTGAATCGTTTCTGTAGTAACTTAACTATTACTGTTTTCTAAGATGTTTGAATATATATATATATATATATATATATGGTCTGTACTTATGATAATCTCTTTATTATGTACCATAAATTTTGCTATGGGAAAAACCTTTAAGGAAAATAAACATTGTTACAAATGTAGTTTCAGCGATATTCTCATCTATGATATATTTAATACCCATAAATTAATTAATTGTTATTTTTGTTAATAATATGTTAAGCTCAGAAAATGCTGCAAATTCTGGTCGTTTTGTTCGAGGTTTACAGTATTCACCTTCAACATAAGTTGTAAAACTTTTATAGTAGCGTGTAAATAGATAATAAGGTTAGCATCCAAGATTACTCAATAGAAACATAAGTTAGAAAGTTTATGTAGATTGGATGGAATTTAGCTATCAGTAGAATCCAGAATGTATGTTTGGTTTTATTTAAAAAAAGATTTGTCACACTTCAAATGATCCAGAAGTTTAAGCTGACTATTGAAGTAAATCTTTATCATTAAATCAGTTGATAGTTCTTCACCAATTTTATGAAGTTCATAAATCTTTGTTTATTTGATTATTTCAAGTCTATCTAATCAAGTCAAAGGAATGTTTAAAAACATTCTAAGCCTTGTAGTTATGTCGATAGATTGCATAGATTATATTTGATGAAGATATCATTTAATGATGTAATCGTTTGATTAAGACTGATCAGATCATTTATTGATAATCTCTTTGCAGTTATTTCGTGCTATAACTAGCAGTCAAAATCTTGCATACTTAAACATTTACTGAACTCCACTGATTATACTTGAGTATTCTTAGTTGACAAACATTTATCATAAAAACACGTTGAATAAAATAAATAGTCTTATTAAACGAAAATTTCAATGAAAAAAACAAACAAACATACCGAAATATCATGTAATGCAGTTTGTAAAGTACAATATTCATTTTTCAATATATCAATTTCAGAGAGAGTTGAATTCCCTGTGATCTTTTGATCATTATCATCATTATCATCAACATCATTATTGTCTATATTAGTTTTATCAGCTAATAACAATGAAATATCATTTTGATCTATTCCTAATTCTAATGATTTAGTATATCCAGTATTAATTAATGAACTAATATTAGTTTGTAATAATTTATTAGATGCTAATATCCATGATGAATCATTTTGTATTACAACTTCATGATTGATAAATTCATGGTTCTCAGATTTTTTATCTTCTACCTGATCATCATTTTTATTTATATTAGTAGTATTAGAATTAAATTGTAAATTTATTGAAGGAAACAATGTTATTAGATGAAGTGTTTTTAATAATGCTCTCATATGATATTCAATATAAGTTGTAAATACAGAAAATAATTGATCAGATTGTTCACTTGTTATATTGGTTGATAGACCAATATTAGCATTACGCCAACATTTAATTAATTGATATTGAGTATTTTGTAATTCATACATCATATATCTTTGTAAATTAATAAGATTTTTTCTTACTAATGAACAATCTAATTCTGTACCAAGTATTGTACATACATTACGAAATTCAGCTGATATAGTATTCAGTAATTTGAATTGTTTTAAAAATTCTTCATAATCATTTGTTTCATTATTCATTGGTGAAACGGTTGTCATATTACTGTATTAATTATTACAATATAATACTTGACAATATTATTAAATTATAAAGTACAGTGATGAAACGAATAGAAAAAAAAAACAAAGTGAAATGATTGAAATATTTATATGGATTTACAAAATGGGGCGTTACTTCATCATCATCATTATCCTCATCATCACCATCATCAACATTATCATCATAAATATGTTTAACTAAAGTTATAAATAATAAAGGAAATAATATCATGAAACTATACAGAAACACATTTATTTGTCATTTAAACAAATTGAACGTACATTTAAATTTTCTTTCTTTTGTTCTTGAAGTTGATCTTCTTTTGTTTGTTTTTTGTTTTATTCACATGTACTTTTTCTTTACTTTATATGTAAAGTGTTCTATTGAGAATGGGAAATGTAATTTCCTTTGAGTAGAAAAAAAGCAAATACTGTTGTTTGTCTTGTTTTGTTTTTTAAAGTGAATTAAATACATTAGAGTTAATCAATTCAATATGATTGGTTCTTGTTAATTATAGGCTAATTTAACAAAGTTTTTCATTTTATAAACTGAACAGTATACTACTTATTTTGTAGTCGTCAAATGAAAAATAGATTTTTAATCAAAGTAATAGTTTCTATTTAATTGTAACATAAAATGTGAAGAGAATAGAAATACTTCATTTCATTATTACTATTAATATTATTATTATTACCATTATTACTATACATCCTGTAACGATTGCTTTTTTTTAAGTGTAAATGGTAAAATGAAGCGAAGTAAAACGAACTATTAAAGAATCTAATCAAGAGTTGATGAACATTAATGATAATTAATTATAAAAAGACCCATATTTTTTTTTAAAAAAAAACAGTTTAATAATAGCCAGTAGTGGAATACAAGAAATGTATTTAATCCTATTTGGGACTCGTCAGCTGGGTGAACAATTATCACAGTGTTGATATTCACACTGATCGCCAATATCGAACTTTGCATAGAGATTCTTGCAATACAATAGCCATAATCAGTCAATCCACTCAGGGTGCATATATAACAAAAAGAAACTAATCAGTTATAGTCCTTAATATCAAAAAACGTGAAAGATTCACACCTTCACAAGTGAAATATTGATTTTTGTCTTTATTCATTGTTTTGACACTCACTAAAACAGATGGGTAACAAAATGGTAACTTCATTGATTTAGTGTAATATATAATATTCTTCACTATTTAGTGGTGATTCATATGAATTTCACTTTCACATAATTATTTTCAAATTTTGTGGATTTTTAAGAAAAATTCAGTTAAACAACATTCGCGTCAAAGACATTAGAAATGTAACAGTGATTAATCGATGGGATTGTATGGTCATTATTCTGTATCATCGGATGTCAGAATATATATCAACATAAAAGAGAAGACCATCCATCTTTGCTTATAATAATTGTGACTTAAGGCAATATCGAGGTAATCCGCACAGGATTCACACATGCCAATAAGAGACTGATCAGTTGCAGTCCTAAACATCATTGGGAAGATTCAAACAACCAACACAAAATGAATTATAACTTCACCTCATTGCATAAGCTAGTGACTATCAGATCTCAGTAGCTAAGTGGATAATGCGAACAGTACTGGGTTGGAGTCCCGGAGTGAACATCAATTCTGGGATGCAGGTACATCCAGCTGACGAGTCCCGAATAGGACGAAACGTGAGTCCTGGATTCCACTGCTAGCTACCATCCATCTTTGCCTATAAGGAAACTTAAAGTTTGAAATAGCCATGAAGCTGTTGCTCATCAGTGATATGCACTCTATTTACTTACTGATAATAACAAGTCAAGATGAAATTAAAACCCAAGAAGCACTGGACAACGGGGCGGACAACATCACAAAAGTTTAATACGGCCTTTCTTCAGCATACTGACAAACTCAACAAATTCGAAATAGTCCTCAGCAATAAGTCCCAGGCCTTTCATGATCTACTCAATGGAGAAGGAACTACTATGGAGAGCAACTGGATGGGTATCAAAGAGGCAATCACTTCAACATCTCATGAGGTTCTGGGCCACAAGAAGCACCATCACGAGGAATGGATCACTATTGATACACTGGATAAGATTCAAGAAACGAGGAACAAGAAAGAAGCAATCAATACCAGTCGAACAAGAGCAGAAAAAGCGAAGGCACAGGCTCAATACACAGAAGTAAACAAGCAAGTGAAGAGGAGCATAAGAACTGACAAACGCAAATATGTGGAAGATTTACCAATGACGGCGGGAAAGGCTGCAAGAGAGGGAAACATGAGACAACTGTATGACACGACAAAGAAACTCTTTGGAAATCACCGTAAACCAGAACGACCAGTGAAAAGCAAGGAAGGCGAGGTAATCACCAATATTGAAGAACAACGAAACAGGTGGGTAGAACATTTCAAAAAACTATTGAATCGACCAGCCCCACTGAACCCACCCAATATCGAAGCAGCACCCACGCACCTCCCAATCAATGTTGGCCCACCAACAATTGAAGAGATAAGCATGGCCATCAGACAAATCAAGAGTGGCAAAGCAGCAGGGCCAGACAACATTCCAGCAGAGGCACTGAAAGCAGACGTAGCGGAAAGTGCAAGGATACTCCACATTCTCTTCAATATAATTTGGGATGAGTAACAAGTACCAACGGACTGGAACAATCAATTGAATGGAATTCATCACTCTACATCAACTTCATTGACTACGAAAAAGCATTTGATAGCGTGAACAGAACAACACTATGGAAACTTCTCAGATATTACGGCGTGCCTCAGAAGATAGTCAGTATAATACCGATTCCTATGATAGGTTAAACTGCAAAATCGTGCATGAAGGACAATTGACAGACTCGTTCGAGGTAAAGACCAGTGTCAGGTAGGGTTGCCTACTCTCACCCTTCCTCTTTCTCCTGGTGATCGACTGGATCATGAAGACGTCAACATCTGAAGGGAAACACGGGATACAATGGACATCTAGGATACAGCTGGACGATCTGGACTTCTCAGATGATCTGGCCGTCCTATCGCAATCGCAACAACAAATGCAGGAGAAGACGACCAGTGTAGCAGCAGCCTCAGCAGCAGTAGGTCTCAATATTCACAAAGGGAAAAGCAAGATTCTCCGATACAACACAGCATGCACCAACCCAATCACACTTGACGTAGAAGATTTGGAAGATGTAAGAAATCAGGAAAAAGAGCTGGAAGTGGATAGGACACACATCTAAGAAAGCACCCAGCCACGTCACAAGGCGAGCCCTCACATGCAATCCTCAAGGCCAAAGGAGAAGAGGAAGACCAAAGAACACATTACTTCGAGAAATGGAGACAGACATGAGAAAAAGAACAAAAATTGGATAGAACTGGAAAGGAAGGCCCAGAACGGAGTGGGTTGTAGAATGCTGGTCGGCGGCCTATACTCCATTGGGAGTAACAGGAGTAACTTAATGTAATAAAAATGATAATAACAACGGAAATACGATAAAACGATTAAATTATACTGTGATTAGTTAAAATAATTTAATTCACTAGTTTAAAAATTTAATCTTTTTCATATGATTATTCTAATATTTATAACTTTGATAAAGTAAGGTCATTGTTCAATTTTCCATAAATAATCACTCCTTAAAATTTATAATCAGTAGTTTTGTTGAACTAAAATGTTCAGTGAGTAATTATTTTTCTATTCCTAATGAAATATCTTGATGTCACTGTCTACTCCAATATAGTGTTGGGTGACATAAGAGCATATTGTAGAAGTACTACAAGTGAATATGTCAGAACATAATATTATTTCATGAGGTTATTGATTGAAGGCCAGAGTCATGTCGGCAAAAGAAAACTTCCCGGTGGTTACCCATTCAATACTTCCGATCAATGGTTGGAGGTGTTGGGTGATGTGGTCCTAAACCAATCACAGTGGGGCAGTCGATGTTATTCTCCATACCCTTTTTAAATATTAAGTAGGTCATCATTCCTAAACTTTTTTATCGAAGCCATTAGTTCTGCTTGAAATTTGTTTCTGATGTTTGACTTTCTGTTGCTCTCGATAATACTTTTTCCTCCTTTACTTCCCTAGGCGTTAATTCACTGTCTGTCGCTGTGTTCGTGTGAGGTATAGTATTTCGAACAGACATATATTGAGCTCTTCTCCTGGATCAATGATTATTGACTTGTTAACAAAGTACTGAGTTCAAATCAAAAAATGTAGCGCAACTGACATGAAAGCATTGAATATAGATCGAGAAATAAGTAGTGAAGAACTTTCTTAATTAGTTACAATGAAAAGTATTCGTTTTCTCTAATAAGTTGAAACTACTCAATATTAAGGCTGAGGATATTAGTTCAAAATGAACAAGAAAATTTAATTAATGCTAGAAAATTAAACTTTGATCAGACTAAAAAAAATACATCAAAGATATTATTACATTAACACTAACATATGTACATCATGTGGTAGAAGACAAAGGTAATAACTAGCTAGAAAACACTTTAAACAATTCTCATATATTTAGTTCATAACATTGGATACTAGAAAAAGACAATTTTAATTATCAGGGCGTATTAAGTTACTAAGGTAACAAAATAATATAAAAATTCGAAAGAAATTATTTCGAAAAATCGAATTTTTGTTTTACTCTTCAAAATAAGTAAATTTAAACACAATTGCAAACAATTAAACTATACACATATTTGCATTTGAAAATGTAACGTGTAACTCGATAATGAATACAAAGTTGAATATAATTGATTTACTCCATGTCAATCTTCAATTCTGGTCAGTTGAATAATTCAAAAAAAAGAAAACAATTTTTTCCTCGTTTTGATAATTATTCAGTTTCTTATTATTTCGAAAGTAGTAGTTGAAATTAACACAGTTGGATATTATGCATATTCGTGTTAAATTCTTTTTTTTTTAATATTTGTATAGGTATTTAAAATATAAAAGAAGTAATGGAAATGTTTACATTTAGTGTATATGATCTAC